CCAGTCGACTGAACATTGGTTGTTTCGATGGTTATTATATCTATGATTGATTGAGACGTTGTGAGGGGTTGACAGGTGTGCTTAAGATGGGTGTTTGAGATAATCATTGATTTTAGACGATGGACAGGTGGGCATGATCAGCCAGCAAGAGTTGATTCTTGCTCAGAGTACTCAGTTAGCCAACCTGCGGATTGAAGTAGATGGCCTCCGGGAGTCTCTGCAGTCCATGTATAGTGACGTAGAACTGCGGATTAATTCCGTGCTAAAGGAAGCACAAGCCTCGGCCTTACGGAGCTTTATTTCAACACCACATCCGGCCTGCATCAAAGAACCGGATGAGGACTACCAGGTAAGAGGTAACTTCCGCTGACGATGCCTATGCAGTATTGGCTCATAATGGCAAACGAACTGAACAAGCTCCGGCTTCAATTACACCATTTCATGGAGGGTACGCGGGTCCAATTGTACATTCTTCATAACGGCATCAGGGATCTAGTCCAGGACGAACGACCTAGAGTGGATCCGTCTCTAGAGCGACTTGTAAACCACTACGGATTACCAAACTCCAATCTACCAGACGATGTATCACCTTTCATTTCTGCACCCATCATTTCATCCCCGACATCAGGTCGACCAACCCAACCAAATGATTCACTCAACGGCCACGATACCCCAATTGAAACACCTGTGCCAATTGAAACACGTGTGCCAACTGAAACACGTGTGCCTTGTGACATTCATCAGATGATTCCGTTGGGTAATTCGGATATTACACCCAGTCCCGCTCAGAAGGTCATCGGTCATAAAAAGGTGAGTGATGTGGATAGTGAAGAACAATGTGTCGACTGGGATGAGCCGCAACAGTCTCCCGCGACGAAAATTCTATCGAAGGATGCCTTCATCAAAGTTTCCGGCCAGAACATGATTCTGTCGAACATACCCCGGCCTTCTGGTCAACTGGGTGGGGCTGGTGAGCTCCCACCAGACCTTAGGCGTCTTGGTGATGAAGCGCCGGTGGGTGTAGAAGCTGAAGAACTGGAATCACCTCCACAGGAATTACAACCACAACTTCTACAACCCAGAGCATCTGTAGAACACAGAACACCCGTGCAGTCCGAACAGTTGCTTGTACCAACAACCATGCGAACAGTTGCTCCGTCAAGTACCTCCCAGTCCGCTACTGCAGTCATTTTCCCCACAGTATCACCGAGTCTAAAACAGACTTTCGGTGTTCAATTGCTTGTATCAGGAACTGAAGCGAACAGCCATTTTGAGGACGTGAATCGAATTGTTGACGAACTTGGTGACACTGCTGAATTTGATGACACTGCAATGGCTCCCCTGCTACCCACTGAAAGTGCTGTACTCATCAGGGATGAGATTGAGGAGATTCAAGAGGCACACAAATTCCAGGCCGATAGACATCACGGTGTATGCATTGATGATAGCGCCATGTATGGGAGACCCTTTTGTCCCGATTATGATGATGCAGAAACCTTTATACCGACCGCCTTTCCTATCGAGGCTACTTGCCACGGTGAGTTTCTGCTGACTCCGAGCGACACTTGCCATTCCGCAATACGGGATGCACCCACCCCGGCAACAACCACGTCTGTTTGTCGCCAGGCGCAGACCCCGTCACTCGGCCAGTCCAACGACGGGCTACCCGATTTGACCTCTGATGACCCTTCTGGTTACGACCAGGATGTTTTTCATCCCAGCAAGGGTCGATACCGAGGAGGACGTCTGGAGGGACTGAGGAGGTTCTGTCGGATGGATGCGGACTCTGACTTCCGTTTTTCTCCCCCTCAGACAGGGAGTCACGCGTCCGGATTTGACGCCTCTCGACGGGGGCTTACAACAACGCCCGGGACGATGACGCAAGGGACTGTGACGCAGGGCACTACAACGCAAGGCACGCGTAGTGATATCGTAGTCAATGACCGCGGGCCCTGCTACGACGGCCATTCAGGTGACTCTGCCAGCCTTCCGCGATTGGATGAAATGAGTGCATCAAGTCTTACCTGCCACCCCCTCAGTCAGAATCCGTTCGCCGTTTATCGTCTAGACCCAATGGAACCCCTTCATCTACTGTCTTCCGGACCCACCTGCTCTTCTAGACCTTATTCCCTAAACCCAGATGCCGGGCCGCTGAACTCTCGACCGGAACGGTTGTCTTCGTCTACGGCAAGTGCAGTCATCGTTTCTGCGTCTCCAGGATCTCTTTACCCGAGAGGCCCTGATCCGGGTCGGGGTGAGCACGGGGCCAAGGCAGAGCGCGGTTTGGTGGGAGAGCCTACTGGGGCCGGTAAGGAAGTTTCTGGTAAGGAAGTTTCTGGTAAGGAAATTCCGGGTAAGGAAATTCCGGATAAGGAAATTCCGGATAAGGAGGTTCCTGGAAATGCAGGCTCTGCTGAAGTTTCTGTTAAGGAAGTTTTTGTCCCTGATAAAGGTGTTTCTGAGATGGAAGTATCCGGAAAAGAAGTTTCATTAAGTGGTAATCCGTTTGGTAAGAAGCGCCCATCCCATGCCGAGGAGCCACGCAGCCCGGCGCCGACGTCCAAGAAGGGTGCGGCGTCTGGCAAAGTGCGGCAGAGAGTTGTGGGTACGTTGTTCGAACATCGGCCGCCTGTGTTCACCGCACCAAGCAGTTCCCAGTTGACGAGGAGGATTGAGCCGGGCTCATTGGACGAGAGACCGGCAACTTTGGCCCAAGCCTTCATGGTCAGCCCGGCAACTGCAACGGTTGGTCGCCCAGTCACTCCCTCTGTCGGTGCTTATGACTTAGTGGGCCAAAGTCCATTAACCCCAAGGTATGACCAGTTGGCGATTGTGAGATTGTGCGATGAGGACATGCGCAGAATCGGTGTAGAGGTGGCAAAAGGAATAAATATCTGGCTGGCGAAGAGTGAGAGGACGAAGAATGAGAGGATGAAGAGTGAGAGGATGAAGAGTGAGAGGATGAAGAGTGAGAGG